TAAAAGCATGTAAGTACACAGAAATTTATTTAAGTGCATTACAGAATTTATAGTTGTTTTTTAAACAATTTTCTAACTGTATACTAAAACTGCTACTACAGAAGGAAAAATCTTTGGAATTTGTTAACCTTAAAAAGCAGTTCTTCTATGTTAAGAAGTTGGAAGTTACTTCTGTAGAGGGTCTAAAATAGAGAATTAAGCTTAACTTTCTAATGAGACGTTAGAATTTAAAGCACTGTGGTTTCTTGATTCTTCTAGGTATATGTGTGGATCTATGACCCAGTTCACTTTAAAACCTTTGTCATGGGATTAATTCTTGGTAAGTACAGTGTCTAAAATGTAGAAAGTAAAATAAAATGCAAAAGCCATGAAAAAAAATATTTAACATAAAATAGTTATTTGTAAAACGTATACTTTAAAATCAGAAGATAAATGATAAAATGAGGAAAATATTTGCAACACATTAAAGCAAATATATTTAAGAGATTAACAACTTCGTAGAAAATGGTAACGGTAGCTCATAGATAAGAAATACAGTGACCAGTAATTATGAATGATACTTAATCACACTCATAATAAATACAAAGTAAAGCAACAGTGATTAAGAGGATTACAGTTTGATAGTACCTAGTCTTAGTGAAGGTCCAGCATTTGGGAAAAATCAACATTGTCCAACAATTGATGGTATGTCCATTGTTTTCATATTTATGGAGGGCAGTTTGGCAATATCTTTCAAATTTTAAATGTATATACATTGATCCAGCTATTGTACTTCTAAGAATTTATCCCATGGCTGTCCTTAATACAGTTGCACAAAGTATCTATTCAAAAGTGTACATTGACACATTATTTTAATGCAAATCCCTCAGATTATACTTAGGAGAGTAATTAGCAAATATCTTTCAAATTTTAAATGCCTATACCTTTTGACCTAACAATTATACCTCAAAGAATTTATCCTGTGTTGTTAATCACAGTTGCACAAATGTACATGTACATTGGTAATTGTTGCACTATTGTCTATAATAGGATAAAATTGGAAACAATTCAAGTCCCTCAATAGGAGAAATGGTGAAATAAATTATAGTACCATACAACTTTTAAAGAATTAGGCAGGATGCGCTGATGGAAAGGTATCTTTTTTTTAAAGAAATTTTATTGGGGAACTGTGTTTTTCCAGGACCCATCAGCTCCCAGTCAAGTAGTTGCCTTCAATCTAGTTGTGGAGGGTGCAGCTCCTTGGCCCATGTGGGAATAGAACTGGCAACCTTGCCTGCACTCTAACCACCTGTGCTAACCGGCCGCCCCTAGAAAGATATTTATTAATAAAATAGATTAAATGGGGGGGAAAAAGCAAAAGAGTAAGAATAGTATGAGCTCATTTATGTAGAAAAAAAATTCTATGTAGCTAATTTTAATTATATATAGGCAGTCTCTGGGAGAACAAATAAGAAACAATACTGATTTAACTTCTGGGGAGTAGAGTAAGAATTGGATGAAGACTTCACTTTATACCTTTTAGGTTGTTTTTTGCTGTTTGTTTGTTTTACCTTGGGTATGTGTTATTCAGTATGGGGGCCACGGGTGGGGAGGAAAGAATGATTTAACAAATAGATAGCAGTTAAACAAAGAAGCTTGATCAATAAGGTATCATAAGACCCATTCAAAATAACTCTTTAAGAGTTGAAACTCAAACAATTCCAACCCAAACAGCTAATAGCTATTGATCACTTACTATGTACTAGTCACCTTGCTAAGTATTTTGCATGCATTATTTCATTTCATCCTTGCAACAACTTTTAAAAAATAGGAACAGGCACATAGTAAATATAAAGTAAACTAGCCTCAAAGGGGTTAAATAACTTGCCCAAGGTTTCTTAGCTTATAAATATTATAGCCTAGAATTTGAATCCTGATCTCTTTTGCTCTAAAGACCTAATAACCAGACTTCTGATTTCTTATGATTGTTCTATGTGGTCCCACTGTACTTAGAAAAAAGCTGAAAATGCTTGTATACAGTTTCCCTAGCTACCAAAAACCATCTGTATCAGAATTACTTGGTGACCTTTTTAAATGTGTAGATGTCAGAGCCCCACCCCAGAATCAGAATCTCTGATTAATTGAAATCATTTTTTGGTTAGTTTTGTTGTTAGATTTTGTTTCTTTAAGCTCCCCTTTCAGTAGACAGATATAGTAGAAAATAAAGTAGACACTATTGGAAAATGGCAGCAGTAGATCATTTAAGGAGCTAACAATTTCATATTATTTGACAGCACTTTTTTCTAATTATATGTAATTTATACTAGAAAAATCCTAACCTAATTTAAGAATAGTAGTTAAGATGTTAAGTTTAACTATGTGAAATGGCTTATAATTGACCATTTTTTATCTATAAAAATGGCAATTTTATATATTTCAATATGTTTATGTTTCCGTTTTTCTCCTTAGGAATATATTCACTGTTATGCAACCAAACCATTTAAAATCTAAAAGTTATTTGTGTAACTCTTGTTTTTTCCTGTTCCAGTGATTGCAGTGATAGCAGCCACCCTCTTCCCCCTTTGGCCAGCGGAAATGAGAGTAGGTGTTTATTACCTCAGTGTGGGTGCAGGCTGTTTCGTAGCCAGCATTCTTCTCCTTGCTGTTGGTAAGTATTATTAATGGAAAAACGTGGATATTGAGCATTTTAGACTGTAATCTGGAGCTTCAGTAAAGCTTAATAGCAAAATTAATGCAGGCAAATCAAGAAGTATATGGACCTACTTTTTGGGTCACATCCCAGAATTGACTCAGGCTTGAAGTAGTATATGTGTTTGATTTTAATTTGATCTATTCTGAAGAAAACAGATTTAATATGACTTATTCTACACATTGATATGCTTTGAAATTTAGCTACCACAAGGACATTAATATTTTTACAGTGGTTGATCATTTATCAGACGTAGTTTCAATAAAACATTTTTGTATTTTATATTTATAAATATATATTTTATATTTTGACATAAGGCAAATATTTAAATTTTATGTATGTATTCAATAAATGATTCTAAACAATTGATTTGCCATTGGGAAAAATCACTTTGCACCTGTATACCAAAATAAATTCTAGATGCACTAAGGAATTTTAAAATGTTTTTTAAAAATCAAACAAGAGGGCCGGCTGAGTGGCTCAGTTGGTTAAGAGTGCAAGCTGTGAGCAACAGAATCACCAGTTTGATTTCCACATGGCCCGAGCTGCNAAAAATCATTATGTGCACATGATCAACACTGGCATATGAGCACTTTTGAAATATGCAACAACCATTTAAGATAACCATTTTGGGGTTCTTATAAATACCATGGTTGAGAATTTTGATTTCTGTGTCTCAGATAATGAATTTTTTTTTTTATTATATGATCTCATATTGCTTTTTGCTTGTTTGTAAGTGTTTTTTTTCTTCTTCTATTCAACTTGTGTTTTAATAGGAGGAAACTCCAGGAACTCCCAAAAAGAAGGAAACTAAGAAAAAATTCAAGCTTGAGCCACATGATGATCAAGTTTTTCTGGATGGAAATGAGGTAAGAGTGTATCTATTACAGCTTATAAGTAGAAATCCAGTTTTTCATAAGAGTTTTTAGAATTTGATGCCTTCACTAAGAAAAGAAGTAATTTAAATAAATATAACCATGCAGATATAAAATCTCTTTAAAAATCAATAATTGCTCTGAATTTAGATTTATAAATACATTTTAAAAAAATCAGAATTAGGTTCAGCCATGCATGAATGATGGGAAACCTAAAATAACTGGATTAAAACAAAATAGCTGCTTGTTTCTGTCTCATCGGTGAAATCTGAGGGTAAGCAGTACTGATACGGCAGCTTGATGGGGGATCTGAGCTCTTCCTCCTGTGTGAGGGAATTAGTACATGACTGCCAAGCTTGTATCAGCATCCAAAGGAGGGAAAGAGATGGAAGGACAAGCCTGCTCTTTAAGGGCACCTTCCAGGAAGCTGGCAGTTTCATTTCTGCTTGGATTCCAGAACCTAATCACATGGTCATGCCCTACCTGCAGTAAAATCTTAGAAATGTGCGTTTTGTTTTGGGTGCTCATTTGCCCAACCAAAATACAGGATTTGCATTACTATCACAGAAAAAAGAGCAGAATGGTTAATGGAGGACACGTGGTTTCAGCCTCTTCTATCGTCAGACATACCACTTTTTATCGTCAGACATACTACTTTATGGGCCTAAAATGTTTAACATTTCTTGATGCTTAACTCAAGGAGATAGTCTTTATTTTTTTTTGCAATGGGAGATTTGTGTGGTGGAAGCCTTCCATGAAGACTGCTTGATTTAGTCATTTAACAAATAAAAAAAAACCTTAGTTATGTACTGGCCATTGAATTGTTGGGAATTTCAAGATACAGTAAAACCTTAGATTGCGAGTAACTTAGTTTGCGAGTGTTCCACAAGAGGAGCAAACATTTCTAATACATTTTAACTTGGTAAGTGAGTGATGTCTTGCAATACGAGTAGTTTGCTTCCGGAGTGAGTTATACTCGCAAACCAAGGTATTACTGTATATTTCTTCTTGCTATACCTAATACAAAAATAGTATATATAAAATAATGGTTCCAGGAGCTATGAGTTTGAAATTCTGGGAAAGCTTTCCAGAAAACATGTGTCCTAGGTTCATTTCAGACACAGTTGTATGAGAAGCTCTAGGGCGGAATCTAGGGTGTGTGTGTGTGTGTGTGTGTGTGTGTGTGTGTGTGTTGGTGTTGGTTGTATAACATGTCCCAGAGTGATTCAGATGTGAACCCAAGCTTAAGAACCACGTAATTGAAGGCCACGTAATTGAAGTTTTCATGTCTTTCCTAACATGAAAACTTAAATACCTTCAGTTAAACATCAAGCATTGGCTATATGCCAAGACATTTTTATAGGTGCTAGGAGTGGCATAATAAATAAGATAAAATTCTGTTCTTAGAAGCTCTCATAGTCTAGCAAACATAGACACTTCAAAAAATGGTACTGTGTTGGATGTGGAGTACAGCATAGGGAATAGAGTCACTGGAGCTGTAACAACTATATATACGATGTCAGAGGGGTAGTAGATTGGAGGAGGGCGGTTATCACTTTGTGAGGGGTGTAAATGTCTGTTACATTGTTTTGCATACCTGAACCTATTTTTTTTAAAAAGGTACTGTGTTGCAGTGTAGTAAGTGGATGATGTGAGAACACCAGTTAGGGAGAGTTGATTTAATCAAGAGAGGACAAGGAGATTCCAGAGATCCTGAATACTTGAGCTGAGCCTTGAAGGATGACTGGCAGATTGACAGGAGCACTGGGAAGGAGTTATAGATCTATTAGGCAAAGGAAGCAGCCTGAGCAAAACCATGGGTGCTTGCATTCCTGAAGAGGCTAGATTTTATTATGCGGAAAGAAGCATGCTTTTAAACTTTTAAAGGTGGGAAATGTCTTTAAAAACTTGTTTTTTTAGAATACTAACTGGCAGAAGTGATTTCTGTGGATCTGATTTCAAGGGGAAATGTGCAGGGTTAAAAGAAAAATGGAACCCCCGATGTTAGAAGTAGAACCAAATCAAAAATATAGTAACAAAGAGTTCTGGTCAAAAGAGAACCAGCAAACAGAAGAGTCTGTTATTTATAGAAACTTAGAGCTAAAACTGGGAGTTTTATGGATGATGATTAAGCAGAGTTCCGATTGTTCTGAATGAAGTCAATTTCTGTTGTTTAAGTAAATTAAGCTTTCAAGCAGTAGTTTCCAGCTTATAGTTTACAGACATTCCATAGGGAAGCAGGCAATGAAATTATTGCAGGGAGTAATAGAATCTTTACATTCACTAAGCATGATCTTTAATAATGGTTCTTTGCAT